TCACAGGAATTACTGGTGATATCACATTTCACAGGAATTACTAGTGTTATCACATTTCACAGGAATTACTAGTGTTACCACATTTCACAGGAATTACTAGTGATATCACATTTCACAGGAATTACTGGTGATATCACATTTCACAGGAATTACTAGTGTTATCACATTTCACAGGAATTACTAGTGTTACCACATTTCACAGGAATTACTAGTGATATCACATTTCACAGGAATTACTGGTGATATCACATTTTACAGGAATTACTAGTGATATCTTATTTCACTGATAACGAATTCAAATTCTCATTCCTAACTTTTACGGTTTCCTTCTCAATGAAAACAATTTGTATGTTTGTTTTTTGTAAAATATTTAGTTTCTTTTGATTAAAAACTGTAAATTAGAGTAACTCATGACACTGGATATATCTAAATGAAGACACCGAGTCAGTAGTGAAGGTTGTTAGAAATATTCCAGGTAATTCACAAACCTAGCTCTGATCAACACTAGATTCCCATGTGTTTTGATCTTACACATTCTTCTTCTTGCAGTTCACATGTTTGTTGGATTCAACTTTAAGTTAGAGTTCTGATGTGTGTATATATGCAACTGAGTTGATTAGGTCAAAGTTTCTTATAATGACTTCTTTATTGTCCAGACAAACTTGCCTGTTTTCAAAATGAAGGAACTGAGTGTGAGGAGGCGCTACAGTGACTTTGAGTGGTTAAGAAACGAACTTGAAAGAGACAGCAAGGTATACAAATGAATTTCAACAGTGTTTATTATTGTGATTAGATATTCCTGAAAGATCTGTTTTAAGTCAGTATATATGTATAGAGCTGGTGAGTTCTGCTTTTAAATTAAAAAATTTGTTCCCATTACATAGAAGGCCGTATGTGACGTAAACATCTAGAAATTGTCATGTAAGTCTTAGAACACATTGAAAAAAATTGTTACATCAAAATTTCAGTATTAGGGATTTATAATTTCTGTAATAAAATGTTATCACTATTTTGTTAATAATTGTGACTAAATTTTAAAACAAATACTGAATGATTAATATCTTAAGTTTTATTCACTATAACATCTAGCTAGATTTGTTTATTATTTTATTGTTATTGAAATACAACAAAATAAAAATTGTATAGTACGGCTTTTGTTATCCCTCTCGTAGTAGCAAGTTTGTGAATATGTACGTGTGTGAGTTGAGTTTCTTACAACTCTGTTATGGTAAGTTTTATTTTGGAAAAGCAAGGTAAAATAGTAGTTTTTAACTTTCATGTGTTCGCTCTTTATTTTAAACAGCTGCTCATTGTGGCAAAAAATTTAATCAGTATTTTTTATTAAATATGAAATTACACAGCATACTCGCATGTTATTCAAACAAATCCTTTCTTTAAACAACAGAGTACAAATATGATGTGATACTTGAGAAAACTCTCTCACATAATTCAAGGGGGGGCTGATGTTTGTACATAGTATTTTATATTTTAAAATTAAAACCATCTATTTTAGTGAGAGAGAACAATGTGTTTAAGTGATGCGTGTTTCACTATAATACAACTTTAACATAGTCTACTGCCACTTACAAATTAGTATACTTGATTAAAGGGTATAATACAATGTACTATACATTTAATAGTGTTTTTGTTTTGTAAATGTAAGTGGTTTCGAGTCATGGTCTTGGATAAGTAATGAAACTTCAGATTCAATTAAAAAATCTCTATGAAATAATTGGCCTAATTAAGAGAAAAATGAGCAAACAAAAAGTTTGTTTATTGGATTTGGTTTGTTGATATTTTGTGTCAGCTACTGTGAATCTTGTAAGATCAGATATCGTTTTTCCACTGGCAGCCATGTTTGGTGAATTATGACCTTTATGACAGGCCTCAAGAAACGTGGAAATTAGCATATGCATCCTGGAATTTCATGTTACAACATCTGTACAAACTCAAATATTGTACAGCAACATACATATTTTGCCAGTTAAAAAAACTACAAGTTTTGTTTAAGATGTTAGTATGGGAACCTTGTGTTATTTGGTGTAACAACACGATGTTAGATGTAACATCATATTTCTTCTGTAAATTAATTTGTTGTTCAGATCGTAGTTCCAGCTCTACCAGGCAAAGCTTGGATAAGACAGCTTCCTTTCAGAGGAGATGAAGGGATATTTGATGAAGAATTCATTGAAGAGAGGAAAAAAGGACTTGAAATGTTTATTAACAAGTAAGTTGTATAGGGAGTAAGTGATCAGCTAGGTTTACATGATTTTTTATACACTTGTGTGTATGACATAGTGATCAGCTAGGTTTACATGATTTTTTATACACTTGCTACATTAGATTAGAGCTTTATAAACTTTTATTGTCTACACAAGAAAACATCTACCTTAATTAGCTGCTACTTGCTGCATGAGATTAGAGCTTTATAAACTTTTATTGTCTACACAAGAAAACATCTACCTTAATTAGCTGCTACTTGCTACATCAGATTAGAGCTTTATAAACTTTTATTGTCTACTAAACAATATGTTCTGTTAAAAAAATTCATTTAAAGTTATCAATAAGTTTAGGGAAAACTCAGAAACACAATTAATAAAACTGCACTATTTGTTACTTGTTTAATGGACCAAAGCAGATGGTTTTTTAGTTTCAAAAAAATATAAATTGGAATAAATAGACTGCCAAATGATGTAAACCTAGCTGATCACTATGTCATACACACAAGTGTATAAAAAATGATGTAAACCTAGCTGATCACTATGTCATACACACAAGTGTATAAACAATATGTAAACCTAGCTGATCACTATGTCATACACACAAGTAGCAGCTAATTAAGGTAGATGTTTTCTAGTGTAGACAATAAAAGTTTATAAAGCTCTAATCTGATGTAGCAAGTAGCAGCTAATTAAGATAAATGTTTTCTAGAGTCGCCGGTCATCCACTAGCTCAGAACGAGCGGTGTCTACACATGTTTCTTCAGGATCCAGTGATTGACAGGAACTACGTTCCAGGCAAGATCAGAAACTCGTGAATCAGAGCCAGGCTTATTGAATAAAATTTCTAATTTAATGAAACAAACTTTTCTGACGTGTTCCAATCCGTGACTTAGGACTTTGTTTCGTCATTCCGTGCTTTAGAAACATTATGATTTTATGCTTTGTTTTGACAGTGTTCACAACTGCTTAAAGTCACCATGAAGGAATATTTGAATTTTTAAATGAGTCACCAACTTACGTACGTATTTCCAAGAGCTATAAGCAGCAGTGGATTATAACTTAAATATTCCACATACGGGTGTGTGTGTGTATGTTTGTACATACTCCTTCCTTATTTCTGAGTTTGCATGAAATTCGCTTCAAGCATTTGTAAATCTGCTGTTATAGGTTGTAAGTTTCATATGATTTTCTATTTCTGTGACAAAAATACATATTTAAAACTTCGGTTTCACTGTGCTATCTAGTAAAACAATGTTGTGTTTAGACTCGAGGGAGCAGCTGGTATCTGTTTCCTTGAGCGAGTAATTACACCTTTCAGACTTTTGTTTTCTCTCTCTCTCCAAGAGTAGTAAAGTGTGTGTATACTTTTGTGTATTAAATAGGAGAAACTTGACATTTAAGTGTCTGGCTAACTTGAATGCTGTACATTTGCAACATTGAAAATCAATAAATTATACAACAATTGTATTTGGATTGTTTCAAAGTGTGTCACGATTTTTGATAACTGTTACATCGAACGTTTAGTCAATGTATGTTATTACATTAAACACATGTCAGTGTGTGTTGTTACATTAAACACATGTCAGTGTGTTTGTTACATAAAACACATGTCAGTGTGTTTGTTACATAAAACACATGTCAGTGTGTTTGTTACATAAAACACATGTCAGTGTGTTATTACATTAAACACGTGTCAGCGTGTGTTGTTACATTAAACACGTGTCAGCGTGTGTTGTTACATTAAACACGTGTCAGCGTGTGTTGTTACATTAAACACGTGTCAGCGTGTGTTGTTACATGAAACACACGTCAGCGTGTGTTGTTACATTAAACACACGTCAGTGTGTTGTTATATTAAACACATTAGGATCAGATAGTTCTTGTATAGCTTTGTGCAGAGCTCAAGATACAGTCGTCACTGTGTATACTTCTATGACTTAAATATCTTGAAATAGGATATTTCTATTTTCAATTATTTTAATCTGTTGAAAGTTAAGATTTCTCTATAAATAAAGATCATGAGGTCAACATTGAAAGTCAGTAAGGTCAGTGTCACTTGATAAGATCAAGTATAATGGTAAACATAATCTGACCAAAACAGCCAAATTAAAGTAAAAGGACCAGCTGTAATAAATTGTGATATATACAAGAAAATCATATCAAGTATTTTAGAGAGATGGCACTATTTTTTATTTTAAATTATAATTTCCCACAACACAAACATATATTTTAATTATAAGATATTTATTATATTTTTTACATAAAACTTATTTTTAGTGAATTATGAACTTGTTTTATCAGATAATCTGGAGAGTGAAAGAAAATTTAACTGATTTTCCTTCATAATTTTTAAAAATTACAATGATTTCAATTTAATCAAAAAATATGAACAATTAAAATCTTTAAAGCTATTGTTGAATAGATAGTGCTGCCATCTTTTAATATATATTGTTACTAATCCTAAATTTACTGTTGAGATTTTTGTTTTTATTGTAATGATAACTAGTTTGATTCTCTAGTCCAGGTAAGTCTGAACAAGTTGGTGTGCTTATATAGTATGTAATTCTTTGTCTACTGTATATTTTATCTTCTCAACAAAAAATAATTTTATAATTTTTTTTTCCTGATTATTTCTCATAAACCAGAGATTCACATACTGTGGTCCGCGGCACCCTGGGGGTGCGCGATAGTACTTAAGGGGGTCTGCAGTAATACATCAAATTTATGAAATTACCATTTACTGAAAGAGTAACGAATGAAATATAATGCTAAGACATTATAAAAGTAATATAGTAATGTATATAAATCCCAAATTAAAGGTAGTAAAATACACATATGATACACCAGTTACACATGATAAAAACTATTTTTAGCGGGAGGGGGTCCGCCGGTTGGCAAAGTTTGGGAACCCCCCTGTCATGAACTATTATTGTTTTGAATGTGATGTCAGAGTGTTTAGAACTGTTAAGAAAAAAATAGTGACACTACAACATTTAAAATGGCTGTAACAATAACAGACTCGGTCAAGAGTTTGGTGTTATACATATATGGAGTTATTACCGTGACTTTAAACGTAAAGTTTGGTAGGCAAGGGTCATTTGGTCAAAGTTCATTCCTTAAAATTCATAATGTAATGATCACTGAGTAAGGGTCATTAATCTCTTTTCAATGTTTCAGGAAAGGAAACATCAGTTATTTGATTTAATAAGTTTTGTTTTTCAATCAACTTACTACGTGAAATAGCAGAGTGTACATTTTATGTTCGAAAAATGATGTTTCAGCTCACTTCATTTGTTAATTTGATTTACCAAAATAGCAAATTAAAATATAACAGCTACACTGAAGTTAAAACTAAACAATAAATCAATTAAAATTTGACCAAAGTTTAATCATTAATATACCATTTGTTTTGTTAATGCAACGCTACACAATGAGCTCTGCCCACCGAACTCCGGATTTTAGCGTTATAAGTCTGTAAACTTGCTGCTGACCCTCTGACATAC